GGCGCCGCAGGAAGCTGCCGTTCTCGAACATGTCTCCGCAGTCGGGGTGCAGCGCCCAGAAGCTGCCCTTGCCGGGCTGGTCCGGCCGCCGCGGGATCTTGATGAAGCAGTCGTTGAAGGAGAGGTTGTGGCGCAGGCTGTTCTGCCAGCGCTGCGTGTGCTCGCGGTAGTAGGGGAAGCGCTCCATGATGAACTTGTAGATGTCGCTCAGCGGCAGCATCTTCTCGGCCGAGTGCTGGATGGCCATGGCGGTCAGCGAGATGTAGGAGTAGGGCGGCTTCTGGTCGCTGTACGAGCTCTTCCCCGGCCGCGGCATCGCCCCCGGCGCCTCCACCGCCCTCCGGCCCGGGCTGGGCCGCAGCGTCGCTCCGTGCCCGGCTCCCGGGGCCCGGCCGCCCCGACTAACTCCCGCTCCGCCCCCCGCCCGCTCGTCCCCCGGGCCCTGTCGGCTCCTCTCCCCGGCCTCCTCCGAACTGCCTGGGGTCGCCGCGCTCGGCCCTTCCGGCCAACTCGGCTCTCGGACACCGGCAACCCCCGGCCCCGACGGTCGCCGAGAGGCGCGCGCAGTCGCCGGCGGGGCGCTCCAGGGTTACCGCCACCTTCTCCGCGTCTTCCCCCGGATGGCCCAGGACTGCGTGCCGGAGCTGGTGGCGGCGGACCGGGAGGCGAGGGGCCGTGTTTCCTTCCCGCCTCTGTTTTTTTCCTAGGTCCGAAGGAAGCCCCGGCCAAGCTGGCTGGAAGGAAGTACCGGGCAGGCGAGACGGTGACCCCTTCGGTCTGGGTTTGCGCTCGCTGTCCTGGAGGCCGGTGGCGGAGGATCGCCCGGCGCCCTGGGCTCAGCCTCCGGGCCGGAGCCTTGGCCAGTCCGTGCTGGAGTTCTCGCTTTCCTGGAGGGGAAAGGCAGGGTAAGGAGAGGGAAGATTCGCTCCCAGCGGCCTGCACCTTCCCTTCCTCCGGCGGGGCTGAGGAGAGAAGAGACGCCGAGCCTCAGGCGATCGCCCTCGGGGAAAAAGTTTGGCGGCTTCT